TGTCATATTTTAACGCCAGTTTTGTTTACTTTCATTACTTTATGCCAGCAGTAGTAATACGTTTAGAATTTCTTGTCGGGTTATAACGTCATTTATTCATGAGATTCATAGCTCAAATAAGATGGACTTCCTCGAATAGAAGCTATTTTCCAAACAAATGTAATAGATCGTGAAAACTTCACAACAATCCCAATTATTTTTTTAAGTAAATTATTTGTGAATGCAGCGTGCTTTCTTCTTTATGGATTCTGAAATCTTGCAATAAGGCCATCAAGAATTCTTACACTTCCAGTCTCAGTCAGACTAACACTTTAACATCAAGCACAAAACTTTCAACTTTGCAAGACCAGTAGTAAGTAGTAACACACAAATATCTAACAGGGTATTATATATCGAATAGAATTGAAGGCAGATAAAGCGTCAGGGCACTGTAAATTGTAATTCGTTGTGCAAGAACATCACTTCCGAGAAATTCGAAAAATGTTTGAAGTAGGCAAACTACTGTTTCCAAGTAGCGTAATATGTTAGTTTCAGATGCATCAAAACATGTGTCGTAGCACCATCATAGTTGCTTTTGTTTCCTGCATATCACTTAAACTGCCGCTCACAGAATCCACCGTAAGTCTACAAATCTTACCATTTTCTAACTTAATAATATAATAAAATGCTTTATGTGCAAAAATACTCATTTTCATTTATTGTTGAAGAAGGATGAGACGAATCAGAAAGAAGCATTGAACTTCTCGACAGCGCTCAGAATCCAAGATGACATACAACCTCTTCATTCTAATGAATCATCACATACAGCTGAACAGAAACTACTAAAAGCTGGAAATTCAACAAGTAAGGACAATATAAAGGCGAGCAGTGTTCATACAAAATGTCATTGCAATGATTCCCAAAAACAAGCAAGTAATTTGAACTCACAGCGCAAAGTAAGGGTGCATCCTAGAGAAAAGCGCTTTCAATGCGAAACTCCAGAGAACGACCTCACTACTAACCGTACTTCAAGCCAATATATCAGTGAGAAACTATACACATGCAGTTTCTGCAGCAAAGGATTTACGTCTTCTACTAATTTGAATGCACACAAGCGGACACATACGGATGAAAAACCGTACATATGTGATGTGTGCAAGAAAGGA